AATCGATTGGGAAATGGCCGTTTGGGCTGATCCGATTGTAGTCAATAAACAAGCCATAACATTATTATCTTTTGATTGGCGAGGCATTACAGAGATGGAGAAGGGAACTCCCATTAAATAAATAATAAACAAAGTATTGGGTTCCAAACAAAATAATACTTTATTATGCTTGGAATTAAATAAGAGTAAAATATGCCATCAGTGTTTCTAAAAACTTGTTTAATAAATCTCTTTGGTTTTCTTATAATCTCCCGCTTAATCTTAAATCTTTAAAAATATTTCCTCTAACACATCCAATCTCAGCAATGCTATTTGCAGCCAACTAATTTTGCAATCTCTTTTTCTCTCTTTGCAGGTAAGTTCACACACGACTAAAACGAAAATTGCGATGGGGTTGGCGTAAGTTTGTGGCGGATACCATTAGCCAAATGGAATATTTATCTGGGTAGCATTATTTTTTCGGCTTGGCTTGTGCGACTTGGCGAGAGGGAGCGACTCGGCAATTGTACAAATAATGGAGCCAGCAATCTTGATCTTTCACCAGCCACTGGGACAAGAGTCTTCCATTCTGCAGAGGAAAAAAATCAAGTTGGAGCTGCAGCGGCGGATCAAAGTGGACTCGAATCGACCGGACTGTGTGTGGATAACTTCGTTGTGGGTTTGCTGCCACTTCCACTTCCACTCCGATCTCCCCACAGCTGTCCAAGATTTTTAATGATGATTTGCTATTTTGTCTCTGCTCGCGGCTTCGAGAATCCTTGGTGTTCTGAATCTTTCTTTGTGTGTGCGCCACAAACAATCAGAACGGATTAGTTTGTTAATCATTTTATTATGTGGCAGGCCTCAGAATTCGATTGGGTCCGAGAAAGGAATTATATTCGGCAGTGAAAAGAAGAGTCGAATGGGGAATCGAATTTGGAGTTGGTTGAAAGGAGTCCCAAAAAGGAAATTATTCCTGATTAGGGAACACCAAATTTTACTTAATTTTGTGAAGTTCTCTTCATTCATTTTCGAACGGCTAAGCAAAACGCAAACGGCGTTTAAAAATAGTTTTATTTAGCACACGCTATCTTATCTAATTGAAGTGGCTAATTCTCCTTAGATAGTGCAAGTCAACCTTTTGTAAGCTCAACCGGCAATCAAACGCAAGGGGGCCTTTTCAATCATGGCAAAGTCACGCAGGTTAGAGTCTTCAGCTTCCATCTTCATTAATTTTTCACTATCTGGAAATTCAATCAGCTTGGCCGTAAATATGTCCATATTTCAGTGAGGTTAAAGCCATCAGACCCGGCCGAAAACTTCCGAGATCCAATTGACATTCGACCTTGCCAGGCCTTCTTCAATTAGTCATTACTGCCCGGGCATCCGCCCAATCCTTGGGAAACTTTCACTTCTTTCGAAGGCCGGGTGAAAATAACCAGCGTCATCAATCATCAAATATTCCAATGCAAATACGGAGGAGAGATGCTGCCACGCCCACCTAGTTGAATAATAAATCAGGAAGCCATGTGACAACTGCTACAGTTTGCCTCGCTTCTTTTGTGTAAACCCAGCAAATGTCAAGTGTTGCAGTTGCAGTTGCTGCTGTTGCAAGTTGCTGGTTGTTGCCGGCAGCTGGTTGTTGGTGTTGCTGTGCGGGGCATAAATCACTGGAAAGGTCAAAGTGCACACGCCTACGGCATGTTGTCGACACCAACACACACCGAAAATCAGTCGCTACAAGGGACAACACATGGTCGCCCGATGTCTGCGATGTCTGCAACAATTGTCAAGTGGGCAGCAGCACTCGATGTTAATGTTGCTGTTGCAGCATGATTTATTTATGCACCACCGACAGTTTCGGTGGCCGGTTGAATTTATTGAATTTTACGCAGCGACCTACTTATGCCACCCACTATCAAAGCGCATTTAATCGAAGGCCAGCGGTCTTATCAATTAACCAGCATTATCAGTTTATTATCACACAGTAACTATCAGCAGTAATTCCGCTGTTTAAACGCTTGTTTTCCAGTCGGTTTTTCGGTGGGTAAAACTCTTGCTGGCTGCCATTGAACTTGAACTTTGTATTGTGTCTGCAAATTGCCAGCGATAAATTCAGCAATGCATCACTGGCAACCAGCAACACTCCCCCGGCAACATTGACAGTCAAATTAAAGTTGGCAATTTTGTTTCTGGTTCTGCTGCTGCTGTTGTTGTTGCCTCAGCCATTTAGCATATGGCCCCTTGGACGGAGTGCCTTTTTATCCCCTTCTATTCCAAGAGGGGGGTTTTTCTTATCGTTTTTTTTCTGACTGCGTGTCGCTCGCAGCTGATGCATAACCGTTTTACGCTTCGTTGCCTTCAACGTGCAAATGAACTGCAGCAACAAGAGCAGCAACAGCAGCAGCACAAACAGCAGCAACATCAACTACAGCAGCAGCAACATGAACAACATCAACTACAGCAGCAACACCAAGCCCCCTTTTCGCAGTTTGAGAAGCATTGCGTGGGGGTTTTCGGGGAAAAATCAGCATTGATGTCGGTGCTTCGCCTTCATTTTAATTTCGATGTTGCTGTTTTTTTTTTTGTCAAGTTGCTGCTTCTGTTTCCCTTCTCAATTTGCCATTTTCCTTTGCATTTAGTGTTTGACGCTCGCTTTTTCTTTTCAAATCGTCAGTTCATTGAAGTCGTTTGTCTTTTTTTTTGCTGATTTGGCTGCTATAAAGATTGGTCTTGAATGTAAAAAGACGGATGAGTCATAACAGCAAATTTAAAAAGAAAAATTGCTAATGAATAACATTTTACAAAATGTATTCCCTTGAACAACATTTACTTAAGGGCAAAGTAATTTATTTAAGTCTGGCAGCATTTTTCCTTGACCTTTTCATGCCTCTTTTCAAAAACATAAATCAATTCCTTTGTAAAGCATGTTCTCTTCATTTTCTTCTGATGAAATGAACTGCTAAACTTGATTCTAAATTGGTTTTTCATCCACCAAAGTCCATGAAGTAAAACGATACAACTAAAATCATTATAAAAACAAAAGCGAAATTGTAATTGAAATTGCATCCACCATTTGTGGGTGGAAAATAACTCTTGTCTTTAATCTTAAACCGCTCTATATTTAAACAGATTTTTGTAGCAAAATGTTTGCACCATTTACGGTTGCTACCGATTGCTATCGGGTGTATAATTAAAATAAAATTAAATACTTATCGCAGTTGCCTCAGCTCCGGAAAATAGAAGCCCGCTTAATACCATAAAACCAACATTAGCATTGGCATGCGGTTAGTTAGTTCGCTGGACATCGGAATGACCTCATCGAAATTATTAGCTGCCGGTAGCTAATCACACACCCATTTGAAAATTTAATAACAAACATGGAGACACATACACACTATAACTAATTATAATTGCGAGAATTGCGAGAATTGCGCAAATCTGTATTTCTGGCTCTCCCTCGATTTTCCCCACTTGTTTATTGATAACCATCTAGCACGTTTCGCTTTTTAATTTTCCACTCATTTATGCAAAAGCGTTGGCACGCTTTATAGGAGGAGGTTTTTTATTCTAGATGGAAATCCGTCATCGGTAGATGAGCACATTCGTAGAGGTTTTCTCAGTTCAAGGTCGATTCCGGTTAGGTTTTTATTAGGCGAAGCTGAGTGACTTCATTCCTTCCTCTTAAATTGAATTACTTGAAAGTGCTTTTCAGTTTATAATCCACTCACAAGAAAATGGCTCGTTTTTGCGATATAATTGCCGAGAATTGCGGGACACAAACAAAGCAGAAAGTTATCCTGCAGGTGCCGACTTATCCTGTTTGTCACGTTACTCATACGCACCGTAATCAATTTTTATGCTTGCCGCTTACGTGATTTGCCAGTCAAATGAAGCCCTTTTCTGCATATTCAGATGCGGAGAAAGTTGAAAGGGTTACCCCTTCGAGGTTTACTACGTGGTTTTTAAATGCAAATCGTGTTGATTGTAATGTGTGTGCGGGAGGGCTTAACACTTGTTGTGATCACGTTTGCAAATTCATAATTTAATTAGTCTGGTGCACTTGAAATTCCCGGCATGTCGCCCAATTTAATAATAATAAAAAGGCCATATTACTTGGGGGTGCATCATTCTGCGAGCGAAGGGAAGTTGGCGCTCGAATTGATGGTCTCAAGCGCTTAGATTTCCTCATTACTTCCTCGGCAATTACAACATCCGCTGTGAGTCACCACATTTTCTTTTCTGAATTTCTCTAATGGCACTCATCAACTTGATGCAGTTATATAGTATTATATATATAGATAATATACCATTTACCCGGTGTTCTCTCTTTTTCTGCGCCCAGTCACGTTGGCTCATAAAAAATAACCAACGATGGCAAAGTGCTGGCACAACAAAGCCCAAAAAAAGAATGGAATGGGTTGTATAGGCAGAGAAATAAATGTAAAGGTTTTTATTTCTATAAATTAAATAATAACTTTTTTAAATACGTAAAAACACTCATTAAAAATGGTCAAATTGTTGGATAACTTTTTTATAAGAAAATTATTTGTGCCTATGCAAAGATAAATTTGTATTCTCATGAATGTTTTGGTATATTTCTGTTCATCATATTTTCATATTTCATAATATATTATTTTATGTTATCAAATTGATAAAGTATACTTTACTAAGTGTCTAGACTTTGTTTCCCATGATGAAGTTACAAATAGCTAGCCAACATTGGTTACACGTTCTCTGAGTGCACGTACTCCCAAGAAGAAGGGACACAAGTTCTCTAAAAGTTCTTAAAGCCGGGCTTAGAAGCCGGCTCAGTGTCCGTGAGTCATGCGGCCGACGGGCCGATGGGCCGGTGGGTTGCAAGTGGCGGTTGCAACGTCTTGCATGCCAAGCAGTCAAGCACCCGTCCTCAGAATTCGCGGCACGAACGAGATGTGCTCAAAACGAGCGATGATAGATTGTGCAGACCTGGCCAGAACCCCCATCTAACCTTCTCTCCATTTTCTTTTGTTTACTTCAAGGCCCATGTGGTGACCGCCTTCGAGCAATCGCTGTCCAACATGACCAACCGATTGCAGCAATTGACGGCGACGGCGGAGCGCAAGGATGGCGAGCTGACGGACATGCGGCAGACCATCGAGCTGCTGAGGAAGCAGTCCATCCAGGCGGGACTGACCACGGCGCACATGCAGAGCATGGGTGTCCAGACCCAGGGTCAGAATCAGGCGGGTCAAGGTCAGCCGGGAATGGACCAAAAGCCACCGCAATCCGGAGCCCCACGACCCATAAATCCAAATAATCCGAATGGAAATATGACCCTTGGAATGCAGCGGCAACACAGCACCGATTCCATGTGCTCCCTGAACTCCATCAGTTCGGGTTGCTCGGCGGCGCAGGACAAGAACAAGGCCAACAAGAAGAAGGGCTGGTTGCGGAGCAGCTTCACCAAGGCCTTCTCCCGCAACGCCAAGATTTCGAAGACGAGTCGTCATGTCGGTCATCACCACCATCACCACAATCAGTCGCACCAGGAATTGGCGGTGGGCAAGGTGCCCCTGACCAATGGTCATGGTGAACCCTTGGGCTTGGCCTCCTTGGCCACCCAACCTGCTCCTCCGCTGCCAAACAGCAAGCAGAGCAGTCCCGCCAAGGCGGTGACTCTCATCGAGAACGCCAAGCCCATCGATGCCATCGAACAGGAGGATCTGCAGGTGGAGGAGCTCAAGAAGCAGCTGCGCGAAAAGGATCTCGTCCTGACGGACATTCGATTGGAGGCCTTAAGCTCAGCTTCCCAACTGGAGAGCCTCAAGGAGATGATGAATAAGATGCGAGCGGAGATGATGTCGCTGAAGCACAACAACGAGAGGCTCCAAAAGCTGGTGACCACTCGATCGCTGGCTGGTTCGGAGGCCAGTTTGGGCCAGGCCATCAGCCCGAATGGGTCGGTGGCCGGAAGTTCCGAAGTCTCCAGAAGGTATTCCCTGGCGGATGGCAGCAATCGCCCGCCCATGGAACTCCCTGCTCGCCTCAGCGAGGAACTTGAACTGGAGGAGGAGTGCCTGCCACCAGCTCCTGCTCCCGAACCTCCACCACCGCCAGCTCCAAATGGAGTGGGCGTGGCTCCCCTGAGTCCCAGCACCCACATAGATCTGACACCACCTCCTCCAGCCTTGGAATCTGCTCCCTTGGCGAGTCCCGCTCACATGGCCAGTGCCACTGAGGAACTCGCGGATGTGTGCGATGGCAAGAAGATAGCCATTGCCTGCTATCTGGGGCAACCGGAGGCCTTTGCCAAGTACTGCGAGGAGCTGCAGGAACTGGATGGCTTCTATGCCAATGGCCACGAGGCGGATGCGCAATCCCAGAGCGAAAGGAAGCCCAATTATGCCAGTGCCAGTTGCAATGAGTTCGTCATCGCCTGCACTTATATTTCTGGCAAGACCACCTGGCAGAATCTGGATTACGTGGTGCGAAAGACCTTTAAAGACTATGTGGCTCGCATTGATCCTGGCACTAACTTGGGTCTGAACACGGACTCCATTACCTCCTATCATTTGGGAGAGGCCAAAAGGGGTCCTGAAATGGGTTTCCCAGAGCTGTTGCCCTGTGGTTACATCGTTGGCAGTGTGAGAACTTTATACATTTGCCTCCAGGGAGTGGGAAGTCTGGCCTTTGATAGCCTCATCCCGCGCAGCATTGTCCATCGGTATATAAGTCTGCTCACGGAGCACCGTCGCTTGATCCTCTGTGGACCAAGTGGCACTGGGAAATCCTACTTGGCCCGCCGATTGGCTGAGTTTCTAGTAGCTCGAGCTGCCAGGGGAAATCCGTCGGAGGCTATTGCCACGTTTAAGTGAGTTCTGAATACAATAAAATCTGTTTCAAATACATTTATTAATTTTTTTATTATTTCCTTTAGCGTGGACCACAAATCCTCGAAGGATCTGCGTCAGTATCTAGGACACATTGCCGAGCAGGCGGCCATTGCCAATGGCGCCTCGGAGCTTCCCTCTGTGATTATTCTGGACAACCTGCATCATGCCTCCGCTTTGGGGGATGTCTTCTCCTGTCTTCTGAGTGCAGGTCCTGCCAACAAGTTGCCCTGCATTATTGGCACCATGTCGCAGGCCACTTGCAACACCACCAACCTGCAACTGCACCACAATTTCCGATGGGTAAGTACTTCATAACCCTTCTAAAATATAATACAATTTATTAAAATCTTCTTGTGTGACAGGTTCTCACCGCCAATCACATGGAACCCGTAAAAGGTTTCCTGGGTCGCTTTCTTCGACGACGACTCTTCCAGTTGGAGCTGCAAACCCAGCATCCTCAGCCCGAATTGGCCGCAGTTTTGGCCTGGTTGCCCTCCGTTTGGCAGCACATCAATCGCTTCTTGGAGGTGCACAGCTCCAGTGATGTGACCATTGGTCCGCGGCTGTTCCTCGCCTGTCCTCTGGATCTGAAGGACTCTCAGGTGTGGTTCACGGACATTTGGAACTACCACTTGTCGCCGTATTTGGTGGAGGCGGTGCGCGAAGGAGTGCAGCTCTACGGAAGAAGGGGAGGCGCCTGGAACGATCCCTCTGCCTTCATCAGGAACTCATATCCCTGGCCTTATGGTCCGGATTCGGTGCCACCATTGCGGCAGATAAATGCCGAGGATGTGGGACTCGAGGGCGTTGCCTTGACCAACGGGGAACAGCAGGATCCCTTGGTGGGTTACTGAATATATTTCGATTTAATTGCATTAACTAATCAGGAATCCTTTTCGCAACAGCTCAACATGCTGATGCGCCTTCAAGAGGCTGCAAATTACTCGGAGGCTCAGGATCAGGAATCCGATTGCGCCAGTCTGGACTCCAATATCACACCAGATAGTTCTGCCGGTGCCGAGTGATCAGCTACATAAACAACCACTTCAAACATGCCAAATTTAGATGGACTTACTACGGAAATTCGCAGGCCGAGGGCCTCAAACTTGCTGCTCTCACCACAATCACTTCTCCCTGCACAAATGAAACTACTTGCACTACTTTCGCTGCGAGGTTCAAAAGCAGTTCCAAGAGTTTTCCATTTGCACCAACATCCCATAAACATTTCTAACCACTCCCCGTCATCTAGAGTAAATTGCACTTTTTAGCGCACTTGTTAAAAATGCAAATTGTCCAAGCCACGAAAAACTGAAACTAAAGCACTAAAACCCCCAAAAAAAATCTTGGTTCCGGCTGCGATTTCCTAAACCCCAAAACTTGAGAGAAGAAACCTTTACTAACATGAAATGTTAAAGAACGTAAAACAAGAGAATTAATTATTGTATATATAGAACAAACTAAATCCCTATGCTTAAGTGCAAATCTGCCCGGCGGTTTAGACTTTTTATACCCTTTATCCTAGCCCACGACCGGCAGATCATATAAATTAAATTGCAACTAATATCTAACTCTACTGTAAATGTAGCTATAAGTTTTTGCTACTACCAATTTACAAGATGTATAGTTGAAGGACAAAGCTTTCACTTTAGTTTAATTATTTGCGTAATTATCATTAAATATTGTTACAAACATATTGCATATTTATAAAGCCCAATAAAGCAAAATACCATTTAAATATTTATTATGCCAAGCCGCGCTTTAAAACAGGAATACGCGAAAGTGAATACGTAATGCCCCATCCTTGAGAAAATAGCAAAATTACCGAGAACCCCAAGAAATTCCTTATCGAAAGATATACACATTTACTACCAATACAAGCAGCAAAACTATATAATATGATAAAGCAAATTATGTGTCTCTGTCTAATTTAAATGTGTGCATTTATGAGATATGACATCAAATCAAAATAAAATATTATATCAAAAAAGATTTGTGGTTTTCTTACTTACCAGTTATGATGGATGCGTGATTATTGAGTTAACATTTTAGCAAATTCCAAACAATAGGACTTTTGAATATCCCGCCAAGTTTTGATATAATGTTTTAGGAGTGTGTGCTCGCTATAGGTGGAGAGTGTGCTCGCTAGGCGAACAGGTTTATTTGCTAGGTTTCCTATTATTAACATTTATGTTAGAGCAAAGACATCAACCACGTTAATTTTGATTGGTGAAAAAGTTTTCGAGGGATGGACAACAATTTTTGTTGTTTTACTGCTCTCTAATATCTGGTAACATTAAACAGCGAGTCAAAGTAGGTAAAAGTGCAGCATAAATTGTTTAAATTGCGGAAATTAGCAAATAATAGTAAGCAGGGTACTATTCTCAGTGATAAAGGCGATGCACATTATCTGATATAATAGAAAAACCCATTGCCACCGGTAAAAAAAAAAACAGTTTTCCGGGAGATTAAACCGCCCATCGATTACACAACGGCTGTGGAAGCAATGAAAAATGAGATAATTATGCGAAAATAATTCCACCTACGGCACGAAATCGTGGACAATGTATAGCTGAAAGCAAACTAGAGAGGCCTCTCAACCGGTGCATTATGGAAATGACTTTTATCACTTATCACAGAGCATTTCAGCTGTTACATAACCTCCAACCAATGGTTCTATATATCGCACTTGAAACCCCGTGAGAAATTGGCTGCAAATGTACAGTGGTGCCTCTGTTGAAAATGTATCAATTTGTTAAATCGAAATCTTCAAAGAGTTATAAATGATCAATGGTAGTTCGTTGCAGACAACTTGAAAAACTCAACCTAAAAAATGAAGTTCATATATATAAACACTGAAGCTTCCGAACTTATGATAACAGCTTACGCATACTCGAAGAGAAAATGACTTTTATTGGGACTCTATTACAGACCACCATGACTAACCTTGTTCTCTTTCCTTACAGATCTCTTGTGAAAATGGCCCTGCGACTAATCAACAGCGCTGTGCTCCGCCAGCTGGCCTCCCAGCTGCCCAAGAGCGCCCAGGTGGGCAGCGTGGCCGCCGTCCACACTCTGGACAAGATTGGCAAGCGTGAGATCGTCGGTTACGGCTGGAACGGCACCGCCTGCTACGCCGACCGCGTGGATTACCCCCTGCCCGCCGTGCGCTTCCGTGAGCCCACCAACGAGATCAACGCTCTCCGCACCAAGGAGCAGGGTGACTGGAAGAAGCTCAGCAAGGAGGAGATCAAGGCCCTGTACCGCGCCAGCTTCTGCCAGACCATTGCCGAGGTCCAGGCCGGTACCGGCGAGTGGAAGCTCCACCTTGGAGTTGCCCTGCTCTTCAGCGCTGCCGCCATCTGGGTGGCTGTGCTGATGAACCTTTTCGGTGAGCCTTCGATTAATACTTAATAATGATTTCACCTTGATAAAAAGTTATAATTCCTTTTAGTTTACGACGAGCTGCCCGTCACCTTCGACGAGGAGCACCAGAAGGCCCAGCTGAAGCGTATCATCGACCTGGAAATGAACCCCGTCACCGGTTTGACCTCCAAGTGGGACTACGAGAACAACAAGTGGAAGAACTAAGTCCGCTATTCCAGCAAGTCCGTTGTGTGTGATTAAGTTAGCCGACGTCTATGTGTATTAAGTGAAAGCAAGATAGTCGAAATTAAAGTTATGGCTGCTGCCTAACCTAGCCGATCGTACAAATTTATTGGCCAGTAATAATTTACTCTATGAAAATGAAATTAAACCCATCCATATGGCAAATAAGAGAATGAGTGACCAAGGATTAATAACCCTTTACATGTAGCTTAACAAATTTTATTACGAAATCAAGAAACTCTTTATCAAACTCTTAAATTATTGGAAGTTTAATGATCTGCGAACTTTGAAAAAAGTACATTTAAAGCGATTTTTTTTTATGTTTATCAGTTCGCAAAGAGGGATGATGTTTTTTGTTTAAGGTTCTAGCCTTTACCTTTCTTAGAACCTCATTTGTTACCATATTCAAGGCGGCCATATAGTCCGGCTCATTTTTAAATATGTCTGTGAAAATGGTTCGGAATTGCAAGACAACTTTTTTCATGTGTGGAGTCAGTTTGGCTTTCTGTTCTGGAGTTCTAAAATTGAAATGATTTCTTATTATTGTGAGGAATCGAAGAAAAATGGGAATAACATACAAACTGTGATGTTGTTTCGCCGTCCGAATCATTTTGGCAACTGTCTCAACTTCTTTTATTAACCCAAATTTACTCCTTGAGTGCCGTTTTTCTCTTTTTGGATTTAAGTCTTTCTCAATTTTTTTGTTGTCTCCTGTCCTGGCACTTAACTCCGAGTTTGTATCGGAGCTTAAGAAAATAATTAGAAGATACATATAAAAATATTTTCGAGGCACCGGTACTTACTTATCACCCTGATCTGGATTTCGATGGAGGTTGTGGGGACGGAGATGGCGAGCTCTGTCGTTCTCTGTGTGATTTTGGTTTCCTTTGGAGTCCACGTAAACAAGTAGAAATACAAGGAATACGAGGATCTCAAAATGCCTAAGTATTGATCCCATGACTGTCGTTGATAAATTGAAACAACAATTCAATTACTTTTAGCCGAGACCCGATTTCATGGAAAAGTAACTGATTGGTTAAGGTATTTTTACGATGCATTATTAAATGAACGGGTTTCTTAAATACTTGCTAAATAACTATTTTTAAAGTTCAGTGCTTATATTATTGTGGTAAGTAATTTCTACTCATTAGTTATTAAGAACACTGAGCTGGCAATTTGATTTGACTAATAAGTTTTAATGAACAGAAAGTTTCTCAGCATGTAAGTAAAAGTAATGCATCTAATCCATAAGATATAGATGGACAAGGTTCCGCATCGCATTGTTCGCCGAGAACTGAGATCTTGTTAGAAGTGATAAATGATTTTTGCAACGGTTTAATCGCGTGCGAATCCGACCTTGTTTAATATTAATTGGAGTGGTTCCGCTTATGGTGGGATCTCCCACGTGCTGGCAAATTTCTCCAGTGACTTTCCTTCTTGATGTTGTGGAAACCATCGTGAGCAACTATGTGACGCACTTTTGGCATCGAGATTACTAAATGGACGAAAAGGAGGAAGAACTAAAAATAAAAAATATGATATATAAATTTTCCTAAACAATTAATAATATTTCTTACCCAACAGCAACAAACCAACCGCATTGTGGGGACAGAAGTCTTGAACAATTAACTGGCATATAATTAAATTCGTCATATTTATACTTCTGACTTGTTTGGTGTTAGATTTTTTACACTTTAAAAATATAAATAACAAGCATAAAGTTATAGTGTGTGTTTTATTTATAATATAATAAAAAGTTTAATTATTTTTAAATATTAGGAAGTGATGTAGTGAAGGCGTCATTCCAGTGAGCCCAATATTTTTCGGTCCTCAAATTGTGGAAGCCATCGTGGGCTTTTACATGTCGTAAGCCGGGTCTATGTTTTCCCGGCTTGACAAATGGATCTCCTCCGTTTTCAGTATTATTTCCGATTGTTGAGGGAACCGTTGAATTATCAGGGGCACCAGTAATATCTGTGCCATTCAAAGTTGTTCCAGTTACTGCTAAACCTTCTCCTGTGGGTCCCAAAGTGGTGTTGCCTGGTGTCACCGGTTGAGTTTCTCCCACTGTTTGTGAGTTCGGTGTAGTAACTGACTCACTTGCAGGGGTTTCCTGAGCTTCTAGAGCGGCTACCAAGAAAACAACAACTCCAACCTAAAACGAAAAGAATAAAACACGATTATGTGCAAAAAACGAAAGAGGAAGTTCCCCTTTGAACCTCACCAGTTTCAGTTCGAGTTTCGCCATATCAACAACTGACACATGTATGTTCGTTACTTCGTCGAAACCAGAAGCGCCGACTGGGCAAAGCCACCTTATATAGTCGCTGCGCAGGTTCAATCGATTAGAGCAGTTCAAAATTGATTTCGAGACCCGCTGCCTCATTTCACCGGGCAGAACCAATTGTCATTGCGAGACAACTGAGACCAACTGATAGATGACGATCTTTAATTTAACGAACGCATGCAGGGAAATTCCGGGAAGACGCATTCAACACCTGATGTCGATCGGGTTTTTCGAGAGATACGATTGCTCTGCGGCTTAGTATAATTACCGATTTCCATAATTGTGGGCGATTCTGAGGCTATATAAATCAGCGACGGCCGGCAAACACCAATCAGTTCTCACTTGGCCCTTGCTGCTTGCAGTTAATCGCTGGAGATGTTCATTAGACTATTGCTAATCAGCCAGGTGGGTGGAAGATCTTGTTCAGACCATAAAGTACTTCTGTATATATGATTTACTTATTAAATATTATAATTTTCAGCTTCTGGCGCTGAGCTACGCCCAGTTGTCTCTGGAGGAGGCTAAGAAACAAATCGATGCCTCGGTTTACAGCGAAGAGGAGATCGGTGCTGATCCACACCTGCCGGAGCCCCACCTTCCACCCCAGTATCAGCCACAGAATCCACATGGCTACGGTCATTATCAGCCTCAGTATCCCCAGAAACCACATAGCTATGGTCACTATCAGCCTCAGTATCCTCAGTATCCCCACAAAAAAGTGACAACAACAACTCCCAAACCGGAAACTACTACAGAACCCAATATCGAGCAGGAAGGCAAGGGCACCCTTGCTCCGCCGGATGATGGCTTGGATAACCTGGACGATGGCTTGCGCCAGAACAACGATGGATCTGCTCTGCCAGAGTCCACCACTCCGGAACCTACAACCACTACGACCACCACTACGGAGCCTACAACCACTACGACTACCACCCCGGAACCTACAACCACCACTACGGAACCTACAACCACTACGACCACCACCACAACTACAACTACGACGACGACTCCCAAGCCCGAGAAGCACCACCCACATCCACATCCACACCCACATCCCCATCCCCATCCTCATCCATATCCCCACCCATACCCGCAGTACCCCTATCCCCATCCTGGATTGCAGTTGACACCAGCGGTACCCAAGCCTGGCCTTCCCACGGAAGCTCACTCCACTCCCAAGGAAGCGGATAAGGAATCCCCCGTGCAGAGTGGCTATCCCTCGTATCCGATCTTCAGACCGCCCTACTCTCCCTACCAGCCACCTGTGTTCCCTCAGCCACGAGGTTATCCCCCGTTTCCTGGACATCCTGGTTATGGCAACACTCACAACCACGAGGAGGATTCCAGTGAGGAGAAGCCCAAGGAGGCTTCTGGCGAGGATGAAAAAGAAAAGGAGGATGTGCCGCTGAAGCCTCCTGGTTTTGGCTACCCGCCAGTCTACGTCATTCCCCGCCGACCAGTGATCACTGTACCCAGCTATCCGCGACCTGGTGGTGGTTACGGTTCACCCTACGGTTCGCCCTACGGTTCGTCCTACGGATATGGACGGTACTAATACTCTATACACTGTGAAAAACTACCTAACCTAGTCTAGAAAGTCAATTGTTGAACATAACTATTTTTGTACTTGAAGTTTACTTTTTAACATACTATTAAATACTCTTTGAATTATATTTTCTCGTTAATATGATTTTATATATTGAGCAAAAGTGAAAACTATTTAAGCTTTATATTTTCTTATAAAGAAATTTAAGTTTAAAAGGAAAAAAACTAAATTATTCATTATGGTTTAGAATTTGAACGCATATTTTTTGTTTAAACGCGTAGGCTTCTCTTACGTCTGTTTAGACTTTGTAATCATTTTCCTCGCGGTGTTTACACGATTACAGGGTTTTAGATTCGGAAAAATGATAATTGCGAATTTGCTCATAATCGTATAGGAAAATTGACTTATTGATTTGATCTGACTTCCCTGTCGTGTATTCCCCGGGCTGATAACCCGGGGCCCCGGCTCTCTCACCTTGATGTTTTCCAGTCGAACGGGTTGAGATCGTCGGGGCATTTAATTGCAGCGCATTCCGAGTAGTCAACTCATAGTTCTGTCGATCGTCGGAAGTTCGAGACGCAAGTAGCTGTCGGATCTGCGAGATGTTGTCGCTCCATTTCGCTCTAGTGGGTTGTCTGTTAATCGCCCAGGGGGTGAGTAAAAATTTGCAAGGTCTCGAATTTGTACTTCAATGCTTCCACAATCTTTCAGCTCTGCCACACATTGCCAGAGACTAAGGTGAGTTAGTTAGAAATAAAAGCATTCCGTTTATGTAACACTTCTTGATTTCAGGGAAGAACTACACGCGATACATCCAATATTCCCACACATTTTTTTAAGCCCGTGGGCAGGAAGTCAAATAATGAACCGATTTCCAATAGAGCTTCGGAAAATGGAAACGGGACCACCTATGGAGGTGACGATTCAGTTGAGTTTCTAGAGGTGAGCTGAACTTGAAACTTTTCTTAACTTGGTTATAAGAAAATAAATAAAATATAATCAAATATGTGTCTTATCGTTTTAGAAATCTAGTGGAGAAGTTGAACCCGTGACCGGTGACGATAATGAAGAAGATCAATCATGGCAATATGCAGCACCTACATTTAATACCAGGTTCCCTGTAAGAGTGACTAAGAAATAGTTTTACTCATGAATTCACCGTTTTACATTTTTAGACGGTGACCCAGAGCGATTCCTTCAAAACGCGCTTCGATCCAGTTGCAAGGAACCCATTTCGTGGAGATAGCAACTTCAACAGTAGGCCCTTTCCGAGTTCACCAGATTCCCGATTGAGGAGTTCTGTGCCCTTTCCTGAACCACAGTTCAACAATCCGAATAGGCCTTCTTGGGTTCCCAGACCAGTAAGTTTTGCAACATTTCTAATATATACCAGCTAATATAAAAAATTTTTAAGGTACCTATGCAACCGAGTAACTCCATAATACCATTGATTGCGGGTGGACCCAATCTTTCAGTTGGTCCAAGTGGACCCAATGGTTTTGGGAGCTCCTCAAACAACTTTTATCGATCTGAGTCCTATAGCATCACTTCCGATGGCAGAGGACCTCCGCAGATCGAGCGGGATGTCTACGACTCCCGAGATGGTTTCGGATCCTCTTTCCGCAACTTTTAACCAAAGCTTTTCATGAAAAGAGCCATCTCTTAAATTCGAAACGCAGTTGTAAATATATAAAAGTGACTGGATTTCCACTTTCCGCATTTGGCTGTCTAGGTCCGGTTTGCATTATAACTAGTTGCGGCTCATATGAGATTATTGTAATCAATACTCACTCAAGTGTAGGTGTAAATATTATTTGTAATAACAGCTACTCGTTTATGATTTGAAAATTATTTAATTTATTGAAATAAACGGGAAACTTTAAAGTTTTTTTTTAAAACACAAACATGTTTGCTTTACAATTTAGTCAAACAAAATCAATTACTGGGAATTCTGAAAGCAAACTAACTTACCAATGACTTAACAACATACTGGCTCAATTATCTTACCTTTGACCGCTTAATTACGTACAAAGTAATAACCCCACATCTCTTACGTCATGCGGTGCACTAACTTGCAAATAAAATCAAGTCTGGGTAATAAATTGTGAGTGATCGTGAGATCGACAGCAGACTATAATCAGTCCTTGGCCTGTGGTGAGCGTGATAAGACAAACGATGCCCTCCGGAATATTCGTCTTTGTATTTGCATTGTCGGTAGGTGAAGCCCGCCTATTTTGTAATTATTCAGTCGAGTACTTAGTTCTCAGCTCCAGTTGGCTTCAGTATTGATGAAGGGCGACAGCCTGCGGAAATTCGGACACCTGATGAGGCAGCAGGATGAAAATACCAGCATATCCTTCGCCCAACAATTCGACGAGGAAATAAACGAATGGGCAAAAGGACTGGAGCAACTGGGTTTGGATATCGCCAAGTTTGTGGAGAAGTGTCGCCAACCAGGAAGTCGTTGCCACAAGAAACATGTCCTGCGGCAGATGGGAGTCCTTCGACGAGGATTAACGGAACTGCGGGACCGTCTTGAGGAACTTGAGACGGAATTTGTGGGACAGGTTAGTGACCAAACCAAAATGGATGTATCACTTCGAAAGTCAAAAAATGTATTAAGGCAATACGATGAAACTTTTAACTATATTAATGAAAAAATCTATAATTTGGTTGATCAGTAAATCGAATCATAAAATGCAAGACATGCAAATGGGCTTTGGGCTTCATACCAATAATGGAAAAATAAATACTTTTACGACTTTTAGCACTGTAATTTTTTTTGAATTAAAACATGCACATTGTTTTGATAAGTAAGTAAACTTGAACTGCGAATACTTTATCTAAGCAAAATTAAATTATATATTATATATTTTGTCCAATATATTATAAATTTTTTCCGATTTCTTATCGATGTCCTTCTCGTTTTTGAACTCATTAAACAGCTTAACTAGTTCCGAATTTCTGGCCAACCGACTTTCAGACCATGTGCCCATATCGCTTTCCATCTTCTTCTCGATTACCTTCAGTGTAGTTTCCAAATTTTTGTCCAGAATCACCTTTAAGTCAACTCCGTGCTTTATATATAATTTCACAATTACCTTATCGGCTGCAGATTCGAACTCTTTGCTCTCTGACAATTCAAGAGTTTTCTTAATTTCCTCGAGGGCATCCCCCAGATTTCTCAGCTCGATAAAATCATCGTTATCCACTGAATCTATTCTCCTTATCAATTCCTTGAGCTTCGGGAGAATGCTTCCTTGAGATTCTGTTGGTAAAGTAAGTTCCGCTTCGTCGATGACCAGTTGAAAAACGTTTTTGTACTTTTCCTTGTTTGCGGTTAACATCTGAGAAAGTTCGTCGAGCACTTTAAGCACTAAATGCCGTCTGTTTACTGTTGAAGCTGCGTACTGTAAAATATTATAATTTGAAGCTTTAGTATCTTAAATAGCTAGAGCATTTACAACCAAAAGGATCTCACCGATGACTGCAAGGCAGCAAATGCGAATAGAAACGTCCAAGTTATTCTGTTAGCCATTGTCTCGAAACTAGCTAGCTCCGCTAATCTGGATTCCTTTTATACTTTTCTAAAAAGTTGTAAGGAAAAACCAAAACGGCTCAAAGATAAATAATTCAGTAGACTGCAATTCCAAGAAGACGCATTTAAAACCTGATATTGATCTATTTTTCGAGAGAAACAATTGCTCGGCTGTCAAGTATAATTACCGATTACCGATTATTATATATTCATACCATCAGTATTCATACCAATAATGATAAGTAAATATTTTTACTACCACTATAATTTATTAGAATTAAAACATGACTAATATTTTGAAATCAAAGTAAGAACTGCTTATGTACATGTGTGCTTAGAAGCAACGATCAGAATGGAACCTAATAAAAATACAAACTAAAGTTTGTTTTATTTTCTCCAACTTCTCATAGACATCCTTCTCGTTTTTGAACTCATTAAACAGCTTAACTAGTTCCGAATTTCTAGCCATTCGACTTTCAGACCATGTGCTCATATCGCCTTCCATCTTCTTCTCGATTGTTTTTAGTGTAGTTTCCAAATTTTTCTCCAGAATCACCTTTACATATAAATGCTTTATATATAAATTCACGATTACCTTATCGGCTGCAATATCGATTTCTTTGGGCTCTGACAATTCAAGAATATTCTTCATTTCCTTGAGGGCATCCCCCAGATTTTTCAGCTCGATAAAATCATCGATATCCAATGAATTTATTCTCCTAACCAATTCCTTGAGCCCCGGGAGAATGCTTCCTTGAGAGCCTGGTGGAAAAATAACTTCCGCTTCGTCGATGACCAGTTGAAAAACTTTTTTGTAGTTTTCCATGGTTTGGGCTAAAATCTGAAAAAGTTCCTCGGCCAGTTCAAGTAGTAACGGCCGCCTGTTTGCTAGTGGATCGCCGTACTGTAAAAAAAATAAAGCTTTGGTACCTGAAATAACTATAATATTTACAACCAAAAGGTTCTCACCGATGACTGCAAGGCAGCAAGTGCGAAAAGAAACGTCCAAGTTATTCTGTTAGCCATTGTCTCGTAACTGTAGCTAGCTCCGCTCATCTGGATTACTTTTATACTTTTCTATAAAGTTGTAGGGAAAAATAAAAACGGCCCAGTAGACTGTAATTCCGAGAAGACGCATTTAACACATGATATTGATCTATATTTCAAGAGAAACGATTGATCGGGGGCTTAGAATAATTACCGATTATATATTCAATAATATTCATACCAATAATATACATACCAATAATATTCATACCAATAATATTCATACCAATAATGACAAGTAAATATTTTTACTACCACTATAATTTATTGGAATTAAAACATGACTAATATTTTGATTAGAAAAAGTAAGTACTGCTTATGTAGATGTGTGTTAAGCAGCAACGAACAGATTGGAACCTAATACTCTTTCTAGGCAAAACTAAGGTTAGATATTTTATCCAATTTCTCATAGACATCCTTCTCGTTTTTGAACTCGTTAAACTGCTTAACTAGTTCCGAATTTCTGGCCAATCGACTTTCAGACCATGTGCTCATATAGCTTTCCATCTTCTTTTCGATTACTTTCAATGTATTTTCCAAATTTTTCTCCAGAATCACCTCCAAGTCTTCAACTCCATGCTGTATGAATAACTGGACGATGACTTCATCCGCTTCAGATTCGAATTCTCTGCTTTCTGACAATTCAAGAATATTCTCCATTTCCTCGAGGGCATCCTCCAGACTGCTCAGCTCGAATGAATCATCAAAATCTAGGGAATCCATTCTCCTAACAAATTCCTTGAGCTCCGGCAGAATGCTTCCTTGGGAGTCCGGCGGTAAAATAAGTTCCGCTTCGTCGATGACCACTTGAAAAACGATTTTCAATTCTTCCATGGCTTCGGTTACCATCTGAAAAAGTTCGTTGGCCATCTCAAACTGTAACTGCCATCTGTTCACTGGTGGAGCTGCGAACTGTAAAAACAAATAAAGGTTTAGTACCTGAAATTTCTGAAATATTCTAAGCCAAAAGGATCTCACCGATGTTTGCAAGGCAGCAAATGCGAATAGGAAAGTCCAAGTTATTCTGTTAGCCATTGTCTCAAAACTGTAGCCATTTCCTCTCATCTCGGTTCCTTATATAGCGAGAAGTTTTATAAAAAGTTAAAAAAAAAATAAAACGCCTCCATAATAAATAGTGAGTGATCGTGGGATCGGCAGAAGGCTGTAATCAGTCTATAGAATTCGTTGAGCGTGATAAGAGCGTTTTAGTCAAGTGCTTCCCCTTAGCAATATAATTTTTGGTTGCAAATACATATATTTTCGAATTACAAAGTCGTATACTTCTAAGTCACGTTTATATCTTTATAAGATATGTGTCAGTGTCAGCTTCTTCCAAAAACGTTATTTTCTGAGTTTTGTAAGTGCAGTTGTCGTTTTTCCATATTTTTACCGATTGTTCTTATGACAGCTATATGATATAGTCGTCTGATTTTTATAAAATTTAATCAAATTACTTATTTATAAAAATTCAATGAAAAAATATTACTTTAAGAGGCCTGCCACTGCAAAATCGGATAAAAATAAAAAAATTATGGACTTAGATTTAGTGATAATTGGTCCATTTTCAGCAAGCCCATTTTTTCGAAAAAATTAAAAATGAACTATTGATTCTTGTTTTGTAACCTTACAAAATGTGTTGTTGCTCTTGCTGATGTCTTGCACATTTTTACAACAAGAGTATCCACCCACTATGGCATTCTGTTCGCCTGGTACTTCAAAATAAGCTTTGTTTGAATATGTTCGGCTTGGCCAAACGATTTCAACCAGATAATTTGTGACCCCTAGATTAAAAATAACAGGTGAACAGAATGCTTAGTTGGCATTTTTTCGATGTGAAAATTTTCCTTAAAAAATGTTTGGCATTCTTTGGGGAATATAGGAAGAATAAAAAAAAAAAAAAACCCCCAAAAAAAAATTTTAAACCAAAAAAAAAAAAAAAAAAAAAAAAAAAAAAAAAAAAAAAAAAAAAAAAAAAAAAAAATTCTCCAAAATCAAGTCGATATGATCAAAAACAACGGCGCGATAACTTTTTACTTTTAATTAAGTATAATTACCGATTAAATATTCGTACCAATAATATTCATACCAATAATATTCATACCAATAATATTCATACCAATAATATTCATACCAATAATATTCATACCAATAATATTACTACCACTATAATTTATTTCAATTAAAACATGATTATTATTTTGATAAGAAAAAGTAAGAACTACTTATGTACTTGTGTGTTTACAATCAAAGAACAGATTAGAGCGTAGTGCTCTTACCAAACAAAACTAAAGTTGTTTTTATTTTACGCAATTTCCTATAGACATCCTTCTCGTTTTTGAACTCGTTGAACTGCTTAACTAGTTCCGAATTTGTGTCCAATCGACTTTGAGACCACGTGCTCATATGGCTTTCCATCTTCTTCTCGATTACTTTCAATGTAGTTTCCACATTTTTTTCCAGAATCACCTTCAAGCCAACTGCGTGCTTAATATATAATTTTACGATTGCCTTATCGGCTTCAGATTCTAACTCTTTGCTCTTTGACATTTCAAGAATATTCTTCATTTCCTTGAGGGCATCCACATAATTTCTCCGCTTGGCAAAATTATCGACATCCACGGAATCCATTTTACTAACCATTTCCTTGAGCTTCGGGAGAATGTTTCCTTGAGAGTCTGGTGGTAAAGTAAGTTCCGCTTTTTCGATCACCAGTTTTAAAACGTTTTTTAACGCTTCCATATTTTCGGTTTCCATCTGAAAAAGTTCGTCGCCCAGTTCAAGCAGTAACCAGCTTTCCAGAATCACCTTTAAGCCAACTCCGTGCTTAAAATATAAGTTTACGGTTACCTTATCGGCTTCAGATTCTAACTCTTTGCTCTTTGACATTTCAAGAATATTCTTCATTTCCTTGAGGGCATCCGCATAATTTCTCCGCTTGGTAAAATTACCGACATCCACGGAATTCATGCTACTAACCATTTCCTTGAGCTTCGGTAAAATGCTTCCTTGAGAGTCTGGTGGTAAAGTAAGTTCCGCTTCGTCGATCACCAGTTGTAAAACGTTTTTTAACTTTTCCAGGTTTTCGGTTTCCATCTGAAAAAGTTCGTCGCCCGGTTCAACCCGTAACGGCAGTCTGTTTACTGGTGGAGTGCCGTACTGTTAATAAAAATTAAAGCTTTAGTAATTGAAATTACTATAAAATAATATTTGCGACCGAAAGGATCTCACCGATGACTGCAAGGCAGCAAGTACGAAAAGAAACGTCCAAGTTATTCTGTTAGCCATTGTCTCGGAACTGTAGCCAGCTCCGCTCATCTAGATTACATTTATACTTTTCTATAAAGTTGTAGGGAAAAACAAAACGGCCCAGTAGACTTTAATTCCGGGAAGACGCATTTAACACCTGATATTGATCACATTTCTCGAGAGAAACGATTGCTTGGCTGCTAAGTGTAATTATCGATTATTTATTCACACCAATAATATTCATAACAAAAATGACATGTAAATATTTTTACTACCACTATAATTTATTGGAATTAAAACATGGAAAATTAAAAAAAAAGGAAAAACCACCTCCTAATGCATTCTGTTCAAATAATATTCATATCAATAATATTAATATCAATAATTTTCATATCAATATTATTCATACCAACAGTATTCATACCAATAATGATAAATGAATATTTTTACGGCCACTATAATTTATTTCAACCAGATAATTTGTGACACCTAGATTAAAAATAACAGGTGAACAGAATGCATTAGTTGGGTACAATTGGAAAATTAAAAAAAAACAAGAAAGGAAGCTAGCTTCGGCAAGCCGAAGCTTATATACCCTTGCAGTCATCAAACATATCGAACAAAATACATAAAGGCTAACAACATCGAAGCTATGACGACTTTTCTATTAATTTTCCATATTTTCGACTATTGTTCATATGGCAGCTATATGATATAGTCGTCCGATTTTGATGAAATTTTTCTCGGTTCAAGGGTAGTTCATAAAGTCGATGTTGTAAAAATCATGCTCGTGGAATAAAAAACAACAACGTTATGATTATTTTGCCATTATTTCTATATATATTTTTTGATCTTTCCTATGGCAGCTATATGATAGGGTTATTCGATTTTGATCAAATTTAATCCGAAATTTAATAACCGTTAGAAAACGCCATCTTAAAGAATTCAAGTCGATCTGATCAAAAACAACGGCGTAATAATTTTTTATCCTTTATTTTTTTGACCTCTTGTATGGGAGCTATCCGATATAGTCGGCCGATCCGGCTCGTTCCGACTTATATACTGCGTGCAATAACTACACATCTTTTGGGAAAGTTTCAGCAAGATAGCTTTAAAACTGAGAGACTAGTTTAGGCAGAAACGGACAGGAGGACAGACGGACAGACAGACAGACGGACAGACGGACAGACGTACAGACGTATTTCGACTCAGATCGTGATGCTGATCAAGAATATATATACTTTATGGGGTCTGAGGTGTCTCCTTCACTGCGTTGCAAACTTCTGGCCAAAATTATAATACCCTTTGCTCTGCAAGGGTATAAAAAGAGAAGCCATCTCCTAATGCATTTTGTTCGCCTGGTACTTTAAAATGAGATAGTCAACCGAATTTAATAAAATTTAATTTAAAATTCATGTTTCTCCCAAATCAAGTCGATATGATCAAATCAACGGCGTGATAATTTTTTCGATCTCTCTTGTGCAAGCTATCCGATATAGTCGCCTGATTTAGTCCGTACACATCAAGAATAAAAACCTATTTTATCGTTTATACTTATGGTAATGGTAATAGGAAATTTTTTATTTATCTCTATTTGTTTAAAATCATGTCATATATTGTTGCTTTATGATATATTAAGAGTTAGACTATAGCATCGTCCAGATTCCCCTGGCCACGCCCTGGATTAAGGCCTGGGCCAACTTTGTGTATTCCATGAGATGAAGTTCAGGAAGTTGGCCCTTAAGGTTCTGTGGAAATTCGAGGTAGTACATGACTACACTATCCTCAGTTTCGGTGGCCCACCGTGTGATATTGGAGACCAATTCCGACCTGTCCTGTCGACTTAGTCTCAGGTATTTGGTCAAATGCGTCTTGACCTTGTCGAAAAAGTTGCGGATAGCGATCTTTTCCCCCGGCAGAACTTCCACGAGAAGTTTGTCGGGATTCTTTCGGGACATTAAATCGCTGTTGATCCAGGCGAAGATATAGTATGCAGTGCTGTAGTAATCCTCGTTTCCCGATATCAAATCGAGTTCCTCGAAATACTGCCGATCGATGGTTTCGCTGGCATTCAGATAAGGAAGTCTGCGCCGGGCATCTTCGATGGTGGAGTAGAGAACCTGATTGTAGAGCCTCTCCACCGCCTGAATTGTGTTGCCAGTGAGGGGATTGGATCTTTCTGGTATTTGGGCGGAATCAGCCAGGGTCTGGCAATCGAAAGCAATCAATTAGTGCGCTATCTACTCAATTTGAACCCACTCACCAGGCAGATAAGCACCAGGCCCCAGCAAACGATGCCGATAAGAAGCCTCGAACTGCGCTCCGAACTCGCCATGTTTTCGTGTTCGCTGCTCGATGGAGACTGAATGACAGATCCCCCAGTTGAAAGACCCACGCCCAAACAATCCAAACAATCCACACCGGCTTGGGGTTTAGGTTTAGTTTGTTTTATTAAGCGCAAGTAGAAAATATCTCAAGTATTGTATATTCGAATTTCGTAGAGTGAGCAAATTAATGGCCATTAATGTTCGTTCGTTTACGATTACCTATTTAAGGTAGCTAGAAAAAAAGATGCCGCCTTTCCGAATGATGATTACAATTTGCAAACACACAAATAACTTTAACAATTAGATTTATAAAGTACGAGTCTTAGTCTAATCTTAATTTACATTTACAGCATTTCCGTTTTACGCTCAGTAGAATCGCTATATTGATTGAGACTTTATATTCCTTTCAGCATTTGTAAATTGGCTTACAACTCAAACGAATATGATCCAAAGACCAGTAATTTATTTTTATAATTTGTACAAATAATGCATTTATCTAATTTTTAATGTGGTTATTAAGCCTTTAAAAAGCAACCGATATTTCGGATATGTAAATTAATGGATAAGATGATTCGGTAAAATAAAATATTACAAATTAAATTTATTTACAAAAGATTAGCGTTTGGCATGTTGATAGACGCTTTTATAATTAAGCTATTTTCTTTTCTAGAAACTGCAAAAGGTTCTTATGGATAAGTTTCATTACATTTATATTCAGAATAACACGCTTTACCCACGATTGTCGGCAAATTTGCATTTGCTGCAATCAGCTTAAAGTAATTAAATTAACGACCAAATTGACCCAGGAATTTAAGAGGCTTGTCAAACCAATTACTTATATCTGACTGTATAGCTTTCTTTGACATTACGTATGGATATTCTTAAGGGACTACTCTGATAAAGATTTCTTTCTAACAATTTTAATCTGCATTTTAAATAACACACACGTATGTAGGTACACTTTGTTGCTATAGGACATTCACTGAAACACCGAGTTGCATATTGATATAATTTGATATATGTATTTCCGAATATATAGCTTTGTTATGTTGCAGTTGTCCAAGCATTGTACTGATTTGGCTTTTGAGTATTTGTATTTCCATAATTGAGACCTGATAGCAGCCATTGTCAAAGTTCACACCAAAGTAAGTTCTAGCTCATTTTCTAAATTAACGCTGATGTTTGGTATATATCTTTACAGTAATATTACGAGTTTCAAGGTACATCTGACATTTAGGACATTGGAGTCTCATGGACCCCAATAGTCGATAACAAAATACAAAATAATCCTCATAAAATGCAAAAATAAAATGATTTTTTCTTTCCTTACCCTAGTTTAAGTTATTAAATATTTTAAAAATAGCTAGTAATAGTTAGTAAGAAAATATACTCATATTTGTTTATGATCAATTGTAAATTCTGTTATCTAGAAGACAGTCCATGGAGTAGAGCTTACAGCTAAATAGAATATCGATAGAGAAATACAAGTATGTTCTAGTTTTTTGGTTGTATAGTTTTTGAAAGCATGCCGAAAACTGGAATACTTTTTTACATGCGGAACAGTTGAGAGAAGCTCTTAAACGTTGCGGAAAATATATAATATTAATTAGTAACACTCTGCTTATGCATATATATGTATCCTTATCTGTAGTTAGTAATACCTTGAGTAAATTTAGTAATATCCATTCTAGCCTATTTTCACCCACGATTCTGGGACTGACTGGAGCTACTCACCATTCAACTTTTGGGATTTGGAAATATTGTCCTCGAGTTCGCTTTCCGTTCATATGTAAATATATCTGTGTGACTTACGGTTTTAACCACTTGCTGCGAAATTTTTCATACGCTTCTTGTTTGGTGTAAAGAAAATCATAGACAGAGAATAAGTTTAAAAAATGATTTATTGGTTTGTGAAATTATGTTTAAGGTTAAGTTAAAATGCAGTTCCGTTTGTAAAACTAAAACTAAACTTAAGTAAATGCAAAGTTTACCAAACTAAGCTCAGGATAACTGTCAAGGAAACAAATGTTACAAAAGAGAATCATGTTAAAGCAAACTGAAATTAGACATTACAGAGACGGGGGGGAACAAAAACGTTTTTACTTTTTATCACAATTGCGTATGAAAAATTTCTTTAATTGCTAGAAGCCGCCACGCCCACTGCCACCGCCGCCCCCTCCGCTGCTCGAGCTGGCCAATCCCGGCGTCGATTGGCGGGGCACCAGGATTCGCGGCAAGGTCAACGACCTCTTGGGAAAGCCGTGTCTGCCACCCGGCGGCTCTGGAGCGGCAGAGGTCGAGGTCATTGCCTCCGCGCTCTCCCTTCGCACACGAGCTACTGGAACAGAAGCTTTTGAAACTTCCATCTCCGCCCCCGCCTCCGCCTCCGCCTCCTGCCGACCCTTCCCTTCCTCCTCCTCTGCTGACCTCTGGGATTCCCCGTCCGGCTGCTGCAAATGTCACGCATACGACTGCGCCGCCTGCGGCATCATTCCGCCGGAGTATCCCCCGTCCAGTCCGGGCGGTCGCTCCACCAGGTTCTTGAGCCGGCCCCGCAACTCCTCCAGGCTCTTCGACTTCGCCTTGTTGATCCGCTTGTACTTCACGTCCTTCGGCTTCGTCACCGAACGGTGGTTCAGCATCACCCGATTGTAGTTGGTTACCTAGAACCAATCACAAAATAAAAATAAAATAAAATTAATATATTTAAAAAGAAAAATCACAATTTTTTTATGAAAACCTTTTTTCAACTGTTCAAAAAATATAAGAGAAAAAATTTTGTATTTGGTATGCAACATATTTTTGTGCTCCAAAAATGTGAAACAAAATCTTGCCCCTTGAAAAAAAAAGATTTTCAAAAATATGAGAAAAATATTTATTTTTTAACTTTTTAAAACTGGTATGCACCATTTTTAAGGGTTAAGAAAAATGTAAAACAAGTGCTTCCCCATTGAATTATAATGATTTTTAACTATTTTATAGTTTTTTCGGCTAAAAATTGCCAACCAAAAAAAAAAAAAAAAGTGGCTTTGAATTTACCTGGTTCTTTCCGTTGGGCGGCTCCTGCTGTCCAGAGTTCGACGGCGGCGGAGGAGAGGGTGGCTGCAGCTGGGGCACCTTCACGCTGAGCGTGGTGCAGGGTGAGTCGTGGCTTGGCGATCTCTTGAGGGCTCCCAACTGGCGACGCTGCATGGTGGATCCGCCGTCGACGGGCGAGGAGTCTTTGGCTTTGTCGGAGGCCGAGGGACTGGCGGCGTCTATCTGACCCTCGGTGGAACTGGAGCTGAGGGCCTTGTCCGAGCGGTTCTTGAACTTGTCCCGCTTCTCGGCCACATCCGTAGTGGGTTCGGGATCCTCTTCGACGGAGTAAACCGTTTCCAGGATGTCGGGTCGTCGCAGAAAGCAGTTGTTCCTCCTGGCCGCTCCATATTTATTGTGATTCGTTTCGATTGCATCGGATATGGAGCGCACTATGGTGATGCCATCGCTGCCGAGAACTCCACCCAATCCGCCAGCTCCACTGCTCTTTCTCCGCGTTCCCAAGGTCATCGGACTATCCGAATCGATGTCCTCCAGAACCACAGCCGAATCGGAGTCATTCAGGGAGTCCAGCTCGTTGGCATAGCTGGCTTCTATGGTCTCCAGGCCGTGATCCACCAGGCGAGAGGATAGAGTGTCTATGATCTTCTGCTGCCTTTGGATGGTCATCTCGCGGTGATTCAACAAGCTGGCTATTTGTTTCTGCTTCCTTTTTAGACGGGATTCCAGCAGCAGAAGTTGGGAGGTGAGCGAGTTCATCTGGTCGGATTTCTCCTTCTGATAGCGATAATGTTGCTGCACCTTTGGAAAAAATATAACAGAGGGTTGGTAATAATAAATTATAATATATATTAATAGTAAAAAATGAATTTAATTTAATTTAATTTAATTAAAGTCTTGCAATAACAAATAACTAATTGGTAACTTCATATTTGTAATTCTTGTTTTATGATCAATTTTATACCAGATTAAGTACATGAACTATTTTTAAAGCACCCACCTGCATGGCGTAGGCCTTCCGCCACTTCATGATGTGCTCGGTCTGGAAGCGCACCTTGGAGCGCAGCTCCTCGATAATGGCCCTGGCCGTGTGCAGGTCCTTGGGATCCTGGTTCATCATGTTCAGCCGCAGGTTGCTCGTGTGTATCGAAACGGGAACGGGCGGTGGCCATTGAAATTCCAGCGGTGGCTGGTTCACATCCGTTGGCAGGGAGCCCCTCGGTTGCGAGGTCTTCGTGGTTTTCGGTGTGGAGGGAACAGTGCCAGCTCCACTGGGGCCACCACCTCCTCCCTTTCCACCTCCCCCTCCACGACCCAGTGGCTCGGATCCCGTGGAGGCAGGATCCACAGATTGCGGCGCCTGAGGTTGCTTCTGTATGCTGCACGCCATGCTGCTGATGGTTTTGGCAAATTGTGTCGCCCGGCCTGCATACATTTGGCCAAGAAATACGATGTGTTCGTAGCTGCGGCTCTAGCTATATCTTTTCCCGCCCGATCTGCGTGTGTTTGGGTGTGTGTGCTATAGCCAGGGCTATCTGCCCGGCCAGCATGCAAAAAACGGAAGTGGAAAGCTCGGAGCTGCTGCTCAATGGAGGTGAACTGAAGCCAGGAACCCAGAACGTGCCGCCTGCAAAGATGCAAAAGTGTTTTATTAATGGTAAATATTTACCCTCGAGCGAGAGCAGAAAATAAGTAACTAATGGATGCAGAGTTTCCGGCACAAGTTTACTCAAACTAAAGCCTTTTCGAGTAAAACTCTTAAGCATTTTACTGTCCAGTCTGCGTTTCTCTCATTTTTAACGGAATTATATTCGTGTATTTCGAGGGAAGCATGTTTTTTGTCCAACTGGGTGCTTGGTTAAAAACGAAATTACGCATACGCCCCATGGGCACAAATGAGACAGATGCCACACAATGCAAATTCCATTACAATGCCAAGCAGCAAGCGAGCAGAGCAGAAAATGTCATTATGCGAAAAATGAATTACATTAAGCTCCCATTAAAATTAAATTCGCGAATTTTATTCATACCGCCCACTTTTCACTCCTTTAAGCAATTATAATTAGTGTTTTATGCACACACATTCTGATTTGAATATATTAGCAGCCTCGAAAATGATGGTGAAACTGACCGTAAAATTGCGAAACCTGTGGTTTGCTTTCGCCCACAGATAAGAGTCCGGAATCCTTTTATTAGTTTCTCCGTTTTGAGGGGGGCTGACGTAAGGTTGAAATTTATGAGATTATTGTGGCGTTATTTGATAACCCAATTAGTTGGGCGGAAAAAGAGCATGATAACCATTACGATTTTATGAAGTATTGGATTTCCGAAGGTGCGAAGTAAATAATGCTAAAAGTAGTCGCAGGGGGAAAAGCAAACATTTTAATAAGTCCGCTGATTTCCCTGAATCGCCAATTAGCTTTGATTTAGGATTACAATTAAGTAGTTACCCTGCTGCTACTTAAATTGCTCAGTTTCAGTTTAAGTGGATTTGAGTGCATCTCAAGCGCTCGGAACTTTAATGAATTCCGCCGAAGTGGTTCCACTCGCTGCACTTCTAAGCCAGACAAATTGAAATTATCCATATAATCTGTTCCGTATCTTGGCCAAGAACAAAAACCAGTGTAGATGCCAGGAAAACGGAAAGACAGCGACAACAAAAGGCTAAAAAGCCGAGGAAGAACTGGAGGCATGAACCACATTTTTAGCATTTCCATTTAAAATAACTTTCAGCCTTAATTTGTGCAATTCATCGGCAAAGCCAAGAAGTCGCAACCCGTCTCTTCAGCGAAGGAACTGGAGTGACTTGGGAACTTCCGTTTCCACTGGCATGAGGAATGCTGTTTGGCCAAGAACACGCAATTGAAAACTATTAACGAAAATTCCAGACACGCAATCTCCAGTCTGAGATCCAATAGTGGCTAAAGACAACCCAATGCTCGCATCCCCTTCAACGATTCCAACTGAAATTGGCCCATTTGCCGACTCATCCATCACTCACTCTTAATTATGACAATTGCACTCGTGCGATGGGAAATCAACAAGTTCCTACTCCTAATTGAATGCAGTTCGGATGGTCTATTGTCTGTTTATGACCTCTTGGCAAGCTCAATCAAAGTTTATATGCCACGCTTCAGTGGCTTTTGGTAATTAAGAAACTGAAAGATTGAATTTAATTTGTTCCTGACTTTCCATCAATTAGACAAGTGTCTGAATTCAAGGCATGTCAGAGAATTCATTCAACAATGTTTATTTCTGCATGAAATTGGATACAAAATACAAAACCAAAGGATTGTGAATCCAATTAATACCTTAAAAAAATAATGTTACAGATAACAAGATTACAATGTTGCTAAAGGTATTTATTTGATTTAATTAATATTTAATTACATACCACAATTTAATTAAAGTTTATTATCTCTCTTAAAAAAATAGTTTCAATATTTATAGTAGATTATTTGCTATCATAGCATTTCCTATTTTTTTGCATAAATATTATCATCTAATCAGCACTCGAGTTGTCTAGCCAAATTGGACATTTATAAATTGACTTAATTATCTCTGTACTCTGTTTAATCATCTATTTTCGGCAGTGACATCTAGTCAAATATGCTTTCTCGCCACGGGAAATTTCTGGAATGTATTGATTTAGTGCGGTTTTCAATGAAATGTAATAATGACAATCAATTTCAGCTCAGAGCAACATTCGGTTGCCAATAACCACTGGTAAATTGAATCCTCGAGCAGACAGTTCAAGTTGACACCTGACCCCTTTGGTAAAATCGAGATGGCCATGTAGACATGGCCTTAAATCCTGCCAGGCTATTTTTGGGCAAACCGAAGCGAGGGTCCTGAGAAATTCATGGGGTTTTTCGTTGGCCAGACGGCTTCTGTAAAATGTTTGCGGACGGGGGGCAATTAATTATGCCCGTCCAACGGCTGAGGTCCGCTTTTCGTGCGTAATGTGGCTGGAAGTGTGTGTTTATGTGATGAACGTGATTTTTACACAGTTTTTACATTTCGTACCGGGACGGGCAGAACGGCAAACAGACAAATAAGTGGCCCCCAACGACGGCGAGGGTAAATAACCGTCGGAAGGGAAGGCTCCTCACGCCAGGAAAATTCAGCAAACACATGTTCGTATGGCTTTCGTCCACCTTTTGGCCCTGAAAGTCCAGTTGCTCTCGGACTGTTTGTTTTACCTTGACCACGACCAGCAAAACATGAAAGGACATTGTTAATGATGTTAAACGTCATCGCAGTCCTTCGCCAAACATCTCCTCCCCTTTTCGGTAGTTGAAATTAGGTAGTTTGTTAACAAGATGGGGGGATGCCTTACAGATCGCTGCGAAACTAGTTGTAAGCTGATAAACTGGAGCAGCCATTCAGCAGAGGCTCTTCATTAGGCCAACACCTCGTAACGCTTACCGGAAACTATGCTCTTTAATGGTCTCCCGGGAGAAAAGTTTACAAGCTACCTAGATTCACTGAAAAACTAGCTAGCATACCTATTATTATTATGAAAACATGCTGTACAATGTTGTGTTATATTTCCAGACAAATTATTATGGTTATTTTATGTTAATTTTACATGTCCTAAACCTAAAAGTTCATGGTCGAAATGTGGAATAAAATCCAAAATCACACTGACAGTAAATAGAATCGATAAAACTATGAATTTTCTACCGTGAAAGTGCGTGCATCGAAATTGTATTTGAATATTTCATAGATCTAAATTGGCAATACCAAGCCATTAATTTTTCAGTGTACAATTTACCCAACTATTTCCAGGTGTATTTTCATACACAGTTGCCCTCGAACTTTGGCAGCTAATTCGCCTGCCACAAAAGTTGGCTTTGCCGGGAAAATCGAGGGTCTTCAACGGCTTCAATAAATTCCGAGCCATTTGCCTGGAATTATCTTACTGTGTTTTTTTCCCAGAATTAACTATCGCAGGAGTCAGGAGTGAAATTTCATGGTGAGGAACAGGTGGAACAGGATACAGAGTCCTGTGAGCGGAGAGGGAAACCTTCGTTGTTCCCCGCTTTCAACTTTTATAGGAGGAACGTGACCGTAATAAGCCATTTCACACGCAAATTTCCCACTGCCACCGAAGTTTTTCTCCAGCGAAACGCAAAAGTGCATTAAATATTTATCCAATCAATAAAGCATATTTCGCTTACTTTTTTTCCACCCCGGCTGCTTTCATTCCTCTTCAATTACCTGCAGCAGAAAATGTCGGGATGACTGGCAGTATTTTTTCCCTTTATTATTTGCAATCTGAAGTTTTTCACTTGTGTCTTGTTTACTTTATATCCTTTTTGTTTGGCACACATTTTTCTCGCACTTTTCTGGAGGAAGAGCACTCCAGCGATTCTGTTTATCTCTTATCGCTTTCGAGGCTTATGAACAGGCGGAATTTGAATAATTTACCGCGACTGAACACATTTTTCAAATCCCACATGTTGCTTGTTAGCCATTGTTTGTTTGTCTTTGTTGTTTGTTTGTTTGCCCTCTGTTCGCATTATGCGTGAGTAGCCAAAATTGATTCGATTTACACAACCAGCTCGTCAGGTTTTTTTTTTTTGTGGGAGTGAATAAAGTTTGGAAAAGTTTAACTGGAAACTTGGCTAATAACTCCTGCAAAGTGGATCGATTCATTTAACACCTGCAGAGCTTCTCTTAGTCGGTTTACGATTAAGTGAGTTGTTTTAGCCATTTCCGGATCCTGCAGGGTAATCGCTTTTACCGGTTCTTCTCTCCATTTATTCCCCATAATCGCGTTTAATGCTCCGCATTAATTAAATGACTCGAGCTCGCATTACCCTGCACCACGAACTCGCAGGACAATAGGGGACATACACAAGGACGAGGGTTCCACTTCAGTTCCCCTTGGTGGGAGTATAATTTGTGGTAAATTATATTAAGAGGAGAGACATTTAATGGAGCACAAGCATACTGTCACTAAACGAAATTGCTTGAAAATATTTAATAACTTACATTACATTTGAAGTTTTATTAGAGAAGGTAGTCATTTCTGCCCTTTAAACACTTTCCACAAGACTTTCCCAGTTTAATATATCTCAAGTGATGCACAGATAAAATTCGTTTTTTTAGTGTGTGCCAAATGAAGTGCAGCGATGTCAAAGTTAAATGTCTGTGAGCTCACTTCATAGTCATGGCAAGGCATCCCATCCTGGATAGTTTGCCACTAGAGTTACTAAAGCCAGCTATTTACCAGGAGCATCAGTTTGTTCCTATCAGAATCTCGGCTCACTTTGCAGCTTCCTGTTATCCAAGCTATCTCAACCAGCTGTTGCCTTTTTATGGCATTTTAATTAAATTTTAATAACAAGGAAGCAGCGAAACTAGAAGCCAAAGGAGTGCATAATTATAAAGCTATTATCGTCTATGCATATTTTGCATTAGTCAAGGATTAACAGTTCAGAAAAGTTGTTTATTTAATAAACTGAAAATACAAAATGTGTTTAAAAGGCTTAAACAGTTTAAGAGCTCAAAGTTTTGGATAATTATTATTAAAATATTAAGGAAAGTTTCCAAGCACTGGTTTAAGTAATTATTCATTCATAACAATGTTTGAATTTAATTTAAGAGCTTTTACTAACTTTAAATCTACTCCCAGTTATCTCAACTACTAAATTAAATGAAAAACTTCCATGAAGCAATGAAACTTTTAAGCAAAAAACGTGAGTCTTTGAGTGCATTTTAATATTTGCTGTTGTGTTATTTACGCTTACTTTCCACTGATTGTTTTTCGAGTCTTTTGTGCAGAACAATGGGATCGAGATCTCCGCATGCAGGCACGTATCTACATTTATCTGCAAAGTGCTCTTTGGGTTGGGTTGGGTTCGCTTGGTCCAAGCGAGTTGGCTTTAAGCCGTAAAGTTGCTGCCACTTTTTCTGGGTGTGGGCGTGGCCAGGTGAAGGCATCCAACTGGGCGGCGAGTGCAATATATTCCCGTCAAGCTGTGCACCACCCTGGGATTTTCCCCCGCGGGGAAAATTCGAGTCGCCTCATTCACGCTCCCTCCTTCCTCTTTTCCATCTTTCCCTTGGTTCATGGGACTCCAAGCTGGGCAGATGGCCACGTAGCTTTGACATTACATTGATTGACTTTTGATGTCTGCTCACTATGTGGGTCTAGGCTATCACTTTCCCTCTGTTCTTTCAGCCTGGTGAGAAGCGGGGTATTCCGGGGATTGGGGGAGTCGGGAGTCTCCTATATCCGATGCCATAAAACTCATACTCCTCCTGCCGCTTGGAAGTTGGCTCACGTAGATATTGCCCTCGCATCTCTGGGTAGCTGTATTGTTATGGCCCGCCAATAAAATATTCATTCTCAATTAGGCACAGACGCAAAAAAAATTACACTACGAAAATAGGATTGTCCTAAAAATATTTCATAAGAACAGCTGACAATCATTGAACAAAAATAATATTCCAAGAAACGAAGATTAGAAAGGATCTCGATTTCCTTTACTTCATATACATAAAACCAACATATTATTATTAAACATTTTTATATTTTAGTTTAATTAACAAACCCATGAATATATATTTTTTAAATCTTTTAAGCAGATACTATATTCTATCATAAGCGAAATGATATAAATTAATACCCATTTATTTTGTAGCTTAGGCTCTTCCTTTTTAGCTAGGGTTTAGCTAACTTTCTTCAGGTTTCAGACCCGACTTCCCACCTCACATCATCCATTCTCGTTGTCAGTGCCTATTAGTCCCCTTGGCAGTTCATTGGACACATACATTATGCAACACACTCAAGGCTAATTGCCGGGAACGGATACCCATTTTGCCTACTCTTATCTGCCTTTGTTTTTGTCGTCAGCAGAAGGTTGATTTTATTAACCGGGCTTAATTGCTTCATAAAAGCTTAGTGCTTTATATTTTTCACAAGCCCATGGGGACATCCCAAAGGGGGCGGGGAACCGCCCAGTTGACCTAGTTTCTATCTACCTTTTCTCCTCCTGTAAGTTTCCTGGCCACAAACGAATCGAATCGAGATGTTGAAGGCAAGTGACACTTGAGCAGCTCTGAGCATTCTTAGTTTTACAAAGTCTACTTGGGGGCGCGAAAGGATTATGGAGGAGAAATCGGAGGCGATTGGGGCTGTCCGGCACGTAATGCCGCATCCTGGAACCAGGTGCTCATGCCACGCACGTATCCCTTGATGGGATAGGGTTTCCACCTCGTCCTGTTATTGTTATGCCGTCCGAATGTTTCCTCTGGCTCAACAATCTCCAGCTCAAGATGGTCAAAGGATATCCAGCTGTAAGGATAATGCGAGCGGCATGTTAAGCAATTGAAGCTTTTGTGCGGCGCAAACATTGATTAGCCAGGATTCTCCTCGGCAATTCAATTGTAATCAGTTCCAGAAATGAGCAGAATATTTTACGTGGCAGTTCACCCAAATGCCAATTGTTTACCTTTGAATAACAACTACTTTGCATAGTGGAGGAGTTTGTATATCGATTAAGGTCTTTAAGGGTTTCAATAGATTTCAATTATTTTGTATTCTTTCCAGACTAAACATCACAGGTTAATAAATGTTGTTAGTAACTTTCTAAGGGATAGATTGCTGATTTATAAATTTCCTGAGAGCGTCTAATTCAGGTGACTAAACAGTTCTTATTCAATGAACTTTTATGCTGATACTTATGATGAGCTGTGAGTCTCCCTTGGAAAAGATTTAAAATATGCTGCCTCGCAGGCAACTGTGGACTCAATTGTAGCGTGGCTCAAAAATAAACTGCTCGTCATTGGGGCGGGCAAAGTTGGCTACGCTTTCAGCTGATTAAGAACAAATTTGATATAAATAAGTGGTGAAAACAACTCGGCACAATTTAACGCTTTGTTGCGGTCAAGTAACTTTAGAATTCCATCGAGTGAACACAGTCGGCTAGCAGAAATACACAAAAAACAAATAAAACCAAAAAAAGCAAATGAAAACAAGTGCAGAGTAATGAAAGAAAAAGCATGAAGACGCGTCGACATGAAAGGGAATTCTTCAGCGTGTTTTTAAGCCGATTTGATTCTGCGGTGAGAGGAACAACCACAAAATGCTATAATAATTTTCAAGCTAATTTTTTTCGCTCTCTTCGCTGCTGCTGCGTACAATTTTTGCCGTACTGCCAATGGCATTTTGATTAACTCGATGATGATGAGGCAGTCAAACAAGAGGATAATGACCTTGGATACCATCCGTTTTCCTTGTGGGCAGTTTCCACATCCCAATTCCAATCCTCACTCCCCATTCCCATCCCAATCCTCGTCCCCGGTGTCATTTCCGATCTCCTGACTGCGGTTAGATGGCCAACTTAATAAGCAAGATATCCCCAAACTGAGGCCCCGGACTCCCGTTCAAGTTTTCGACTCACTGCGCTTTTGGCCGGACTCCAAGCCAAGTTAATGCCAATATTTTACTCAACTTGTCCGGCCTTCAAGCCGCCACTCAGCTGGCCAAGACCACCGAGCCACTTAGGATTAGAGCTACATTTTTCAGCTGATTACTATGACGAGTGACTTAATATTCGGAAAGGAAAGTGGAAGCACTCGAAAAGGCCTTGCTAATGGATCAGTTGAAAATCAGTTCTTAGCCATTGTAATTGAAAAGTTAATAAAACAGGCTTAAAAGGTGAAATTTAATAGTAGTATATTGAAGTATCTTTTTATAAAAATACTATATTTTATATTTATACCCCCATAATATTTAATAACAACTTTGGCCTTCGTATTTTTCAATCCCGTTTTTATTGGCGAATTCCTTTACCTGCACATGCTACTATAATATATATTTTCCGCTCGAATCAAAGCTCACCGCAGTCTAATTCAAATTTCGTAATCGCCGTCATCTTTGACAGCTCATTAAAGCCAACTGCTATTACTTTGGACCACAAACAGCTCCAGCTCCACCGACATGCAGGCAACTTTCACAAACGCACTCCGGGTGGCAAGTGAATCAGTCAAAATCGATCGTGCCACCAAAAAGTTTTTGATTGTTTGATTGATTGATTGAAGGCACGCGTTGTAATTGGCGACGTGTTTGGCCAGTTGGGGTTTACACGTTTTTTTTTTTGTTTGTCGGTCTGCTTATAGCCACACTAATTTTTATTACCGTTTCGACCACATAAACTTCCGCTGACAGTGAATGCGAACCTGGCTCTTAATGAGCTGGCATTTGAATTTCGGTTTGGGGACGAGGCGCTTGATTTATTCAGCGAACCCGCATTGAAATGGAAATACTATGACTCTACAATATACATATATTCCGTTTTAGTTTTTTTTTTTTGTAAACCTTGAAAGTCTAGCAAAACGCAACGAGCTGTGATGGGATCTCTGCTGATCTCATTTATTCTGGGAGTCAGTTAAATAAATTCTCATTAACTAGTGCATTGTGCTTGGGAACTTTGCAAAAATGGTATCTCGTTTTTTCCGCTTACCTTGGATTCCATTTAAAAATCTAAATCAGGATATGTTTATACCCAAATGGAAAAAGTTTCGTGAAATCATTTGGTATTCCCTCTAACTGCATATTTTTGTTAACCTTCAAAGGTTATGCAAATCCATTCTGCAAATCGTCTGAATAGAGGTACGTGCATATTTAAAATGTCATCGGACAGCTGAATGCGAAAATCAGTCCATCTTGGATGGGGGGAAATTAAGTCATCCGCCTGGGGATTCGCCTTCAAGGACACGTGCAAGGTCAGTTCGGGGTGGGAGGTGGAGCATGCAGAACCGTTAGGCAGATAAAGAGCCATGAAAAGTAGTCGAGCACGAGGCAACACGGAAACAAATAAAAATCAACAGGATTAAATATGCAGCTCTACGTGGCCCTGTCGTTTTCTACGCTCTCTGCAGAGAGGATTTCAGCCTTGTGCCCTGCCTTGAATGTGGAGTCTGCGGCCAATCTGTTACATTTTGTCATGGCTTTCCTCCCACTTCTCCTCCTATTGCCCCTCCCACTCCTCATTCTCCTTTTTCGGAGGGCCCACTCCTCGGCTCGAGTGTCCTTCGCACGTTTTACCTTCAGCTGGGACACTGGGCCGTAAACGCGACTGCCTCTGCTGTTTTTACACTCTCGACCAGGCCCTGAAGTGGATTCAACAAGTCTAGATTTTTGGAGGTTGAGATTCGACTTCCTAATACCTATAGAAATAATACAAACTACTGAAAAACAGGAAAATATTTGAAGCTCTCACAATTACTATCTATTAAATATAAGATTGGAAGCATAAAGTATTTTAAATTTAAAAAATGTCTATTAGATATCTAGTATAATATTTACCAAAAAAGAAAATAATCAACCGTTCACAGTGTCAAGGGTTTTGTTATTTTAACTACAAAAAAAGGTTCAAATAAATATTCTGTTATTTTAATAGCCATCAAATTCCCAATAAATCTCCTTACATTTTTTGTTAAAATATTCAAAGCCCACAATCGTATCCTGACTAAACTTCCAATGATTTTCCATAGAACAGCAAGTGCTTTTATGTTTTCCCGCGGACATCTCTCACCCCTCGAGCGGATTTAAAAATTTATTTCCCACGTTTGTCGGAAGCGGATGGCGAGAGTTTTGCGCCACCAGACACCAAATGAGTTGGCACGGCCACAGCCATGTCATTTTCGCTCTAAACGAGGAAAAAAAATCCAAAAAAGTTCGGTAAAAGGAGCTCGTTTTGCTGTGGGACCCCATGAAAAATTTAAACTTTTACAATTAAAGCGCAAGGCGAATGGGAATATGGGGCAGCTGCAACATGTGGCGCATAAATTGGTCCTTCAGCTCTTGTCTTTGGATTGAAACGCTTCCTTCGCATTAATTCAATTCCGGCCGTAGCATATGGCATATATTTCAAAATCGAAAATAGAACGTTTGCTATCTGCACGACTTGCATAATTCAAACGTTTTTCCCCATCACTCTCGACTTTTCCCCCACACGTTTCGGTTACCAAATGGAAACCATCGCTTGCCACGTGGCAAGGTTGAGAGAGCAAGCCCTAAAACGTAGTATTTTTGCACTTTGCTACATAAGTGAATTATCCTATCTGCGCTTCTCCTTGCGTACCACATGACGTATGAGTGATAAAAGGCGCAAGAGGGGACGGAAAATTGCATTTGCTGAATAGCAACTCTGCACAGCTTTTGGGAATTGGGAAAATTCTGTAACAGAGTTAATTAAACCTTGCACCAATGCAAGTAATTTAATAAAACCAGGAGGAATTTTGACATTTTACCAAAATCAATTCAATCAATATTGACTTAGTTAAAGTCCCTTAAGGAAAACCTTTCATTTCCGTTTGTTATGCATTGCCAATCAACTCACGCATCCTTCGATGGCCATTGAAAATTTTCCAATCAGATTTCCTGGCCATCACTTCGCCACTTGGATGAACAATACCTCAGCAATTATCAGGACATCCGAAACACAATCCTTGTCTCCAAAATTCCTTTGTTTAGCTTTCATTTGTCCTATTATTTCAGGGACATTGCTCAATCTTGCCCCAAAGCAAAGTACAAGTAGAGCATTGAAAAGCTGCCATAATTAAATGGCAATTTTCCGACAATGCAGGCGTTAGAGGCACCTTTTATTATCTTTTCCTCCAGAAATCCGTACATGCTAAACAGTAATTGTTTTAAATTTTGTGGGGCGGTTTAGAGTGTATGATTCTGTTCTGCTTTTTACTGTGGGCGCGGTTCCGGGCAATTTAACACCTTGGCTGTGCATTAATTTAACGGAAAACCAAACCGCAGCGGCAACCATTTCGAAATTCGAATATCAATCATACGGCCCGTTGGCCAAGTGCAAAAATCGTTCACCATGGCTGAACTCTGACCCGCCGCCAGAAGCGTTGGCTTATTCTCGGTTTCTCGGTTTCGGGACCCAACCCATTTGCAATCCTGATGCTGACAGCATAATTTACAGTTTTCAGCGGATTAATCGGAAAATGTGCAAAACGCTCTCGGCTACTTACAATTTCAATTTACTTTCGGTTAGTCCTCGCCGAGGAAGATCGTCCTGCAAGCAGACGAAGAGCAGAATTTACATAAATTTAATAAAAACGAATTAAATTGTGTCAGAACCCGACGCTGCGGGCTGATGTCAGGAAATATCGTCAAAGGCATTGTCAACTGAGTATAATGAAAATGTGGGATAAAAATACCGAAATCGAGCGACCATGAAATGTAACAAATGTTTCAGGGGAGGGAAAAAATCATTTAAATAGTTTGGCTCACATTAAATTGAATATCTTGCTGGCTTTAGCTTGTGCAACATGAATTGCAGTTGCTCCTGTTTCCGGAATCCGTTAAGACCGGATTGGAGTTTGCACAAGTATTAGTTATGCTTGCGGTTGGCCAGGAAACGCACCTTTTTAGCCAAGTTGGCGCTGCCACAAAGGAACACACTGCCATAAATCGTTGCCTTTACACTGCCCTCACCAGGACTTTATGTCCCGGCTTTTGGCATTGTTGTGACAGCTGGTTTTGCCACACCGCAGGAGCACGTCCTTTTCCCCCTTCCCCCCTGGAATCCTGTCCAAAAACCCAGCCATGCAAATTATATTTAAACCTTTTGTGTAAATGCAATAAAGTCCAGCACACTAACATGCACATATAATTTTTATTGTTTGCCACTCGGACCATTTGGCTTGATTATTTTATTTCCATTGCCAGCATTGTTTTTCCAACCCGAAAACCCAAAAAGGATACAGATTTTCCGGTTTAGGGTAAGCGTATATAGAGCTTGACTTGCAAATTATTCCTAGCACTTTGTTGATTTAATCTGAATATTTTCCCAGACTCTGACATAACAGAAGCCGCTTTTAGTCTTAAACTCTGCCAAAATGCCTCGAGTGGTTTAAAGGAGCAAAGCAAATGATGGAAGGATGCTTTGATTTATGCCAAAGACCCTCCAAAGAGTTGAGCTGAGAAAAGGCTCTGATTTATAGAGTCGAGACCTCGAGGCGTCTGCTTACACAATCAAAATATTACCAGGACAACAAATGAATGTCAATAAAGCCAATTCTGCGGTCTAATCATATTCGCAACATAATACGTATCACAAAGCAAACAATCAGGATGCAGTCAGTTTTCTCCATCCTTCGGTTATTCAATGTTTTTGTTGCCTTACAATTTACAAATTGCACAAGATTTCCACGCCTTCGGTGTTTTTGGGGGAGAAGGGAGGAAAATTGGCCAAAGCAATTTCGTTGGCAACTTGTCTTCTTCGAGGGATTCGAGGACTTGGCCAAAGTTTTGTGTCTTTTGTTGATTCGACGTGCGGGACAAGTTTTTGTTATACTCGGGGCCAATGCAATCCGGATGCAAATGCAGTGGGGAGAACGAGGAGCAAAAAGACGAGGGACGCCATAAATATCGAGAACAAAAAGCCACCGAACTCATGGGAGTGCCATCGACCGAATGCACACTTTATTGTGCAACACTATTCTTTTTTCTGGGTTCCTTTCTTTTCTTTTCTGAGATTTTCGACAAGGGGTTACTAGCTTACAAAAATGGTAGAAATATAGTTAGTTTAAAATGGAATATAAATCAGTGAAACATGAATTTTGTATTGTAAAGTTGTTACATTTTTAAGAAAATTATTTCACACATAAAACACATATATTACACAAAAAGCTGCATATCCAAGATTGAATTGTTTTTGACAGTATTTAATATTTTGTTAAATTCTCAGATTCTCTAGATTTTTTCTTCAGAAGTTCTTAATATTCTTATGCAAGGTATTTCATATTTCATTGCCTTGTCGTTGTTTTCCTCAGATTGGTTAGTTTTTGCTACACCTACTCCCCGACAAGAGGAAACAAAAGACGAGCCAGCAAGGACAATGCCAGCCTGCGGGCATTCGAGGGTTAACACTGACGAACTGACGAAGCCGACGAGGCTGTTGCATTGATGCATTGGGCAAGATGGCATTGGGGTGGCGGTCGGTTGAATGGCAAGGTCGTTTCAAATGTCCCACAAAACACGAACAGCGAAAGTAAAACAAAGTGATGGCAACATACACTGGCTGCATAACAAAATAGCTAACACCTACAGCAAATAATGTTGGACATGCCAAAAAACTTCTAACAACACGGAGTGTACAAAACGTAATTCGTTTTTCCTTCTTTTTGAATTTATAGGAAAATGTCTCATTCCTCGTTGAGTAAAAAAAGTTGACTGAGAAAACTTTTCCAGACATTCATGGGAAAAGTCTATTACTGCGATGCTTAAACGATCTTATTTATTGTTTGAGTATAATTTTTGAAAGTTTCTGCCCAGCCGTAGCACAATTCTCAGAGGTAAATAACATAAGAAAATATTTATTTTTCCTCTCCTTATTCTCAGAAATAAAATGAATGTGCCCATTAGGTTGTGCAAACAAACAGGTAGAGAAAAATACTTAACTCAACTCCGGTATGTGTAACAATTTGGTCTGGCTGTCGTGTGAATTAAGATGGCAAACAGTGGCCACTATTGTTCGAATAAATTATGCACTTGTCATTCTCAGGGCATAGATTCCAGTGCTCCCTCCTTGGAGTTTGCCAATGTTTTGTTTACTCTGCTGTGTGAACTGTGTGTCTGCTCGCTTGGGAAAATTCACCGAAAAAATTGCCTAACTTTGAAATTGAAAAAACCCACCTTAATGAAAACCCAACCAAAACAGTTTATTGAACTAAGTTATAATTATCTGATTTGCTAAAGTTCCAAAACAAACTCTTAACTCATTTGTGAAGTTCTAAATTACGTTTTTTAGTCGAAGACAAGTTTTATATAATGTGCTAAAAAAAACCTGTCTACTTTTTGTAAAAACTAAATTACGTAACTATTAAAATAGTTTTGGTACTACAAAATAAAAAATTTTAGTTTAAATTTTCTTTATGACTGTAAGTTGGTTAAACCAAAAAATCGTTTTATGACAATCGTGCTTAGTTAAAAAGTTACAGTTTTTGTTCCCGAAAAAAGCAAAAACTTTTTCTTGACGTAACTTTATGACACTTTTTATTTCATTTTAAGGTAAGAATTTTGAATATATTTTCACAGGTAACAATTTGTGTACCTGTTGAACTCACATTTCCTCTTAAAACGTGTATTTAGTTTCCTCATCTTGAGCCAATTAAAGCGCCTCTCTGGCTTCGGTCATCAGCATAGTCATTAGACAACTATTCGGTCATTTACTGTGAGCCCAGCAGGACTCCCCGAAAAGCTATTAACAAGCCTGCTGGCCAACAAGCCTGCTGGCCAACAAGACCCACTTATAAGTGATCCAAGGACGAAGGTGGAATGCGGCGAACAGGAATTCCTGTGTAGCAATCAGCAGATTGTGTGACAGTCTGCCGTTCATTTCCCTATTTATTCAACAAGTTCCGCTGCGAGGCCCGAAACTAGGGACAGGATTCCCTCTGACATCCCAAGGACTTGCAGATGGATTGTGTAAGTGTGTGTGTGTGTGTAAGTATGTGTGTGGAGGAGGGTCCTGCGGCTGTTTTATGCGCTTATAATCACATATTTCAGCTCACTCCGGGCATCGATTTGTTTGGCATTTGTTGAATGCCCCGAAGGATACGCCGGGCGGTCTCGCATTCCGGTCCTGTGACTTGTGATCCCTTATTTTAGTGGCATTTATTTTGTCACACGTACTATACACTCACACACACGCAAACGCGTCTGTGTGCGACTAGCGGAGAAGCCATAAAAGTCCTCTGAGCCCGTAAGTGCGTGTTTATTTGCTAAGGAAGGTCCTTTGCCACTCTATGTGTGTGTGTGTGTTTTTTTTTGGAGCTGGCTTAAAGGTATTTGCCTTTATCGAAGGCATGCAGGCTGCGGTCGGTATTCAGGCATCCTTGTAATTGGGGCAAGGGTTTTTGCCTGCTTTCGCTTGTGTGTATGACAAACTCATTTCATATTTATTAAATTTGCTGCGCTCGGGTTTTATTTTCATTTGGCACGTACCGCAAGTAAAACAAACATCGTGCCAAGTATTTTTGGTTTTGTTTTCTTTTTTTGATACACTTCCTGGCAAGCGGTTGAGCTTATTATGAGTTTTTCTTTCTGGCAATGCGAGATGATATACGAATACTTTTCTTCCACCGGCATTGTTTTTAATTTAGATGAAAATTCGTATTTCCAGGTGGCGAAGAAGAAAGGAACTTTGCCGTCATCCGTGGAAATATTTTTTCATGTTCCGAAACTTTACAGCCATGGGATTCCCCAGGCTTCGTCTTTCGTGGCTTGAACTACATGAATATGTAAGGTTTGGCTATAACTCCCGGCCACGCCCACCTGGCGCCCACCTCCCTCGAAACTATGTAATTAAAAAGTTTTGCAAAGAGATTGCCGAGCCAAAAATGAGAGGGAAATATCGTGTTTGCATATTTCTGCGTCAGCCAGAAATAATAATTAAAAACAAACCAAAACCAGCGAAATGCTGGCCAGCTATAACGACTGTTATTAAACCAATTTATTGTTGGCTCACATTGGTTTATTGGCCAACTGCGTAAACAAAAACGGTCGAAGTCTGTTAATTCGATTCCATCCAGTCGAGCACATAAATAGTTTGCAGTGAACATAAATCGTTTTGCGAATTTCTAAATGGACCAATGTGAGTGGCTAAGTAATGGAATTACGTACAATATTCACCCAGTTTTTGCCAAGTTCCCAGGCAGATCAAGTCCCCTCTGAAATTCTGCTCTTTCGGCTTTTTTGCCTCACTTTGTTTTTGTTTTTTTTTTTTTTTTTTTTGTGGGCCAGCTTTAGTTTTCTTGGCCGACAGTGAACTTTGCGGGCTCCTTTTTGTTGTAGGGGCAGCTGCCTTTTGGCTTATTATTTTCGTTGTTTTGCAGTCAGTTCATTCAACTCACAATTGCTTCATCTTCCTCTTGGGGAGAACGAGACTAGACTTGGCTCACAAAAGAAGTATTTTTGGGAAAAACAACCTTTTGATCGCCTTTGTAAGCCATTGTCAGTTATGCAATATTTATTTGTTTACAAAAGCTGTTTCAATTTATTGCGTATCAA